GGGTAGAACTGGGCCAGGGAGTTCAGCAAATCTGCTTTATTTTCCTTGAGAAACCTGCCAGAGCCCCTCAGCTGCTGGGAATGCTGCAGCCTCTCCAAGGGTTAACTTTGTGCTCCTCCCTGTGCTCTTTGTCACATCTCAGAAGTGCTGACAGATAAAGGACTGCATCACTTGCAGTTAATGCACCTGAATTTTGAGCAGGATGAGTTTTGAGTGAAGCTCTTGAAGTCAACTTGATTTTGTTGCAGGGATCATGGAATTAAACTTGTATTGACTGTCAATGCCCTTATCTTGTTGCTGGCTGTTGATTTTGTTTGGTTTGGATATTTTACATCTTTTGATAAGCTAAAATTGGGTGTTGGGATTTGTAAGTTCAGAGTACCTTGGCTGCAGGCCAGTTACCAGGGTCCTGGCCCACACCCACAGTCCTGCAACCATGCCTTGTTTTCCTTGCCAGCACTTTGTGCCCATCCTTTCCTTGGGTGTAGCTCCTGCTGACGGGAGTGGTTCCATCTTGGGTTGTTCATTGTGCTCAGGTCTGCACTCCTGGTGCCAGTGCCAGCCTTCTCATGGTGTCTGTCCAGCGTTCTGCTGGAAAACAGCCCCATGTGCTGAGCTGATCTGGGCTGGGGGTGTCTGCTCTGTGCAGAGCAAGGAATAAACACTGGGAAAGCTGCTGCTCCTGGCTGCTGCTCAGCTCCTCAGCAGTCTTGCAACTCTAGAAGAAAGCGGCTGATTTTCCTCAGGAGGAATCCTACCCTGAAATAGAGCTGGCAGCCCTGGGTCCCCTCCCCCTGCTATAGGTCAGAGGTGTGCCTGGGACACTCCACCTGGCACTGAATGTGGGCAGACCTTTGTGTGGAGCTGGGAAGAGGAGCTTGTGTCCCACTGGGAGCTGGACAAATGCTGTCAGCAGGGAGGGACAATGGGGCTGAGATAGGGAGCTGGCAGTGTGGGACTTTAGGGATGTCTTTGCTTCTGAGCTTGGCTCAGACCTGGAGCCAGCTTCCGTGTTAGAGCACTTTTCACTCCTCTTGTTCCTAAATTTTTTAACATCCAAAGTGCCTTGGGGTTTTTTGAAGGAGAAAAGGTAAATCAAGCCCACCCTACCCTGTTATTTCCAGACAGGCTTTTTCCGCTGTGTCAGAGCCTCTGCCTGGTCCGGTCAGAGCGTGGCTGGGCAGGTGGGTGGACACTTGGGTGGCAGCAGGGCCACCACACACATGTGTGACCTCCTTTCTCTCTGGCTGTCTGGTCATGTACCAGCCTTTGGCCTCTCTTAGCCTGGCCTGTCCCCTCTCTCTGGAGGATGGGAGGTAGGAGCTGTGTGTTTGCCCTTCGTTCCTCACCATGGAATTGGCAGTCCCTGAGAAGGCACAGGGCAGTGTTTGGGCACTGCTGACTCGGGCTGAATTCAGCCCCGTGACCTGGACGCAGGAGGCCACGTATCCCATTACTGGATCCTTCAGCCATCTCATCAGCCAGCTCTGGTTACAGGAGGTGTGCAGGGGTGAAGTGCACTTTGGGGCTGTTCAGCTGGGTATTTGTGTTTGCAGCAAATGGGATGTCCTGGGCACAGAGTGGGTGCTGACGGGCTCTTTTTCCCTTGCAGTTCGCAGTGTTGATGTGGGTTTTCACTTACGTTGGTGCCTTGTTCAATGGTCTGACATTACTGATCCTGGGTAAGTGTTGGACTTGTGTTACACACCTGGCACACCACATAACCTTGGGAAGGCAGTGGGGTCTGGTCAGCACTGGGAGGCTGATCCTGTAGCCTTAAGGTGTTCTAAGGACATCTAAGTAACTTCTAAGTTCCTTTTTTTGATAACAGAACAGTTCATTTTGAGTTGTGTTGTTGAATTCCTTGAGATTGCTGATTTCCAGACATTACACGGTTTCTGGGCAGGTTTGTTGTGCTTGTCCCTGTCAGGCTTGGCCTGCCTTGAATGTCATTGCTGTGCTGGGACTTTGGAGGAGGTGCAGGATCTGCTGTGGCCATGTCCCACTGCAGGATTTAATTTCTTATATCCCAGAGCAGGCTGGCTTTCAGATGTCAGAACCAACTGATGCCTGAGCAGCCTTTGGGAAGAATTTGCATGACCCACCATGAAAAAGTGACCTGTGAACAGCCTTAACTGTACTGTTGGTGAGACCTGGAGAACAGCCCAGGCTCTCCTTAGTAGGGATTCTTGAATTTTCTGGCCAACAATTAGTGCACGGGGCTTAATTGTTCATTTTTCTTGTACCTTTTTGCAAGACTTAGCAAGGTGTGGAAACCCTTGTTCTGCCTGAACACCGTCCCTGTTGTCAATATTTATACATTTGATGTGCTCTTTTCCAGCTTTGATTTCGCTCTTCAGTGTTCCTGTTATTTATGAGAGACATCAGGTGAGTGCTTAATAGAATTCATTAAATGTTTCATAAAATCAGCTTGAAGCAAAACCAGAAACAAGTAATTAAAATTAATTTCAGTCTTCTGAAATATTTAAAGCTTTTAAAATAGGCCTTTACCCAGGAATCAGGGCCAGGGCACACTAGTTCAGTTTGAAGTTCAGACTGTGTGTGCTTTCCCTTTTCCTCCTTGGTGGAAGAAGAGGTTTTCCCCAGCAAACAATTCTGGAAAAGGCCTGATGAGCTTGGAGGCCTTTTCTGCTGGTCCAGCTCTGGCCAGGACGGGAGCAGCACTGGGCATGGTGTGCTAATCCTGCCATACCTTTTGGAGTTGATATTCAGGGTTGGTTTCCCAAAGCTCTGTGGAATTTGTAGCCCTGGCAAAAACAGGAGGTGGGAGCTGCTTGGCCCGGTCCAGGGCTGCTCTTGGGGAGAGACTCCCATGTAAAAGGAGTAGGGAGGAAGGAGCCAAAGTAAAATACTTTTGATTAAATTATGGCCAGGGCTGTCTTGGGCAGGTCACTGCACAGGAGGGGGCAGCCAGCTCTGGCTTAGCCCTTCGTCTCCCCTTTCAACAACAAGGCCACCGTGGGGGCCGGGCCGGGACTGGGGGGAGGCAGGAGCAGATGGCAGAGCCTCATGGGGTCCTGCCCAGGCCCCTCCTCCACAGGGAAAGGGAGCCCTGGAGCCCCAAGGCAGGAGCACGGACACTGTGTGGGGCTTAACCCGAGCTGCTCAATCCTCTGGCCAGGCTGCAGCCTAAGCTGGTTACCTGGCCCAGCCCAGCTAAGCAGCTTTGCTGTTCTGTGGGGCCCAGAGGGGCCCAGCCCTGCACCCATAACTGGGGCTTGATGGACCAAGGAGAGAAGCTGGGGATCCATTCCTTTGGGGCTTTGCCCGCTGTGCCCTCTGGTGGGTGCATTCCTGGAGTTCTGGCATCACACTGGGAAGTACCCCTGGCTGAGCTCTCACTTCCCCCACAGTTCTGTGGGACTCAGCCAGGCTGCAGAGGGGGAGCTGGGCTCTGGTAACTTCTTTCTGCTTCAATTCCAGGCCCAAATCGACCATTACCTGGGACTTGTGAACAAGAATGTCAAAGATGCCATGGCAAAGTGAGTTGGTTTGGGCTTATTTATTTTCCTTTGTACTGATAACAGTTCCTGGCACATGTGGCACTCCTGTCTAGGACCAATGTGTTCTTCCATGTGCCAGGCCAAGGAGGGAAAAGGTCTCTAACTCTGGACTGGTTAGGAAATGAGCTCCTTTATTGCTGATGCTGGATTGAAATGAGCCTCTATTATTTCTAATAGAAATCTGTGTGTGGGTATCACCCATTAGTGATACCTGAGCCCCTCAGCAGGTGCATTGAGGGGGAATGATAAATTCAGCAGTGTCATTGGGCTCTGAGTATAAAGCTGTGTTGTGAGGGTTCTTTTCACATGTTCTGTTTAACCTTTCCTTTTTTGTCCGTTACTCAAACTTACCTTTGTCTGTTTTCTTTTTCCTCTTGCAGGATCCAAGCAAAGATCCCTGGGTTGAAGCGCAAAACTGAATAAAAAAAACCTGAAGCAACTTATCAATAGGAAAGGAAGTTCATCTTTTAAGGGGAAAAATACTCATTGGATTTACATGGGGAGGGTCAGGGAATAGCAAACCCCTTGACATTGCAGTGCAATTTCACAGATCTTTATTTTTTAGCAACGCAGTGTTTGAGGAAAAATAACTGTTTTGACTGCCATGTGTTTCATCATCTTTAAGTATTGTAAGCTGCTATGTATGGATCTAAAACTAATCATCTTTCCTTATCCTGTGTGCAGCACTGGCTAATACAAACGACTGAGACAGCTGTACATTTGCTTCATCAGAGGTAGTTCCTGCTGCGTTCCGGAGGTGTAGGGCAGGTGGGGCAGAGGAGGACACTTCCCAGTTTGTGCACTGTGTATGGTCTGTGTAGATTGATGCAGATTTTCTAAAATGAGATGTTTTAGAAGAATATACCAGTTTAGCAAGTTTTGAAAAATCTTGCCTTTTTGGTATGAGTATAGCTGTATTGTGATTTTGTTTTATCAATTGCCAATATATATATATATATATGTGTTTCACAAAGCTTAGATCTTTCAGCTGCTCCACAGTGCTTTGTACTTCAGAGAACTGACTGAGGCCTGGACAAGCTCCAGAGCACACAAGCTTGAGAAACTAAAAAGTCTCTGTAAACACTGGCATCTGTTGGAAACAACAAAAAAGAAATGAACAAAGAACTCCACACAGAGTAAAAGAAACTTACAGCATACACTTTGTTGCACAAACGTACAGTAGTTGATCTTGAGCAAATAATTCTCCAGCTTTCAGACTCTGATAATCTGTGGACCGAGTATCTAATGCTGCAAATGTTGTTTGGAAACTTAAAGCCCTGTCCTGTTATGCAAGAAATGATAAGTGAAAATTTATACACTTGCAGTTTGAGCTGTACTGAACTAAGTCTGTGGAATGCATTGTGAAATGTAAAAAAAAATCCCAACAAAAAAGGAAAAAAAAAAACCAACCCCAAAACCCCAAGTATCAATAAAGCTTATAGACATAAAATGATACCGGTATTTGGCTTTCTTGAGGCAAGTTTAACATATTTGTGTTTATTTGAAGTTCATTGTGATAAATATCCATTGTCCATGGTGGTGGCAGTAGTGTCCGAGTAGAGCGCGGTGCAGGGCGGGTTTGTCACGGTCCCTTTTCTTCCTCTGCAGCCTGAAGGAGCTGCTCAGGGCCACCTCCAGTGTCCCAGGGTGCTCCAGAGGGTGTCGGGTTCTTGGAGTTCTGAGACAGGAATGGTTGATGCCATTTTCAAGTTTGAAGGAAATAAGTCCCAATAATCTTTCCAGGTCAACGTGTTGGTTCTGATTGAAGAGCTGGACATTGAAAACTTGTGTACAAATTTATTTGAGATGCAGATTTTTAAATGAATGGCACCTTGACCATTGAAAAATAGAAATTCATGCATTAATATTTCAGTTTACAGTAAAATACAGCATTACTTGTGAGCATTTTATACAGGAAGCCAGACCATAGAAACATACAAACCGTAGGTAAGTGTTTTCCTGACAGACACTATTGCTTGAAGATATTTCTCACATCACTGTTGATTAATTCATTCTGCCACACAACTGGTTTTATTTGGGATACAATCGACGTGGAAGGAAGGCAAACATGAGTGGTTACAACACAGGCAGAGGTGCTCACTGCTGGCACCACCTGACAGAACAGGATTCGATCCCGAAGGTTTCTTTGAAAAAAAGACTGCATAGGGACTTGTACTGTGTATCTGACAAACTGCTCTGCTGTATAGTCATATAAGGCATTAATAAATTCAATTGTTAAAAAAAAAAAGTGATTCTTTGAGGTTGCTGAAGCACTTTGTGTGTTAAACAGACAAGAATCCACTCCTTTAATGGGATGTTTTTGCTACTTTTCTATGCAGTGGGCAGCAGAAATGGACTGGCAGGAAGGTTCCAGAGTTCAAAATCCTATTGTCCTGAACTGGGACTAAAGCACTATTGCTTTTCAGAGAGAGACTAAATGTAAGTCTAAATGTTTTATTTTGGTCTTTATGTCTTTTAAGTAAGAAAGGTAATTTCAAAATATGGATATTGGTCCATGCCCAGAATTTTGAGTATCTTAAATACATATTTTGCATTGCCCATATTTGCTATTCCTTTTTAAACTGTCTCCAATTCCACTGTCCCTTGAGTGTTTGGTTTTGACAAAATGTTCTAACAAATACCAACGGGTTTGAGTTGCCTTTTGGGAATATCTGTCCGTGGTTCTACTTTTCCACAGAGGCAGCTCTCCTTGGATCTCAGCTGTCCTCCAGGCCAGGACAAGGGGCTCTGTGGGGTGAGGGAGAAGCAGGGACAGGGACAGTATCCAGAGTCAGCCACCAGGAGCTTCCCCCCCCCAAAAAAAAAAAGCAGCTGCATTTCCTGGTACCAGAGGATTTATGTTTTACTTACAGGCAGCATGGACTGGCTGGAGGGCACACACAGCCCTGCTACAGGAACATTGCAGGGATTCCTTTGGAGGCTTGGGACCCTCCTCCAGAACAGGAAATAGGGATTGATGGAGGCTTTCCCACCAGGCCAAGATTCTGGCTGACCACTGCCTGTAGGAGCGTGAAACACATTTTCCCAGAAAGGGGGAGCATGCAGGAACACTTGGGGAATGACTCCCTCAATCTTGGTGTTAAAATGTCTTGAACCAAGTCTGTCCAAACCCTCTCACTCACTGTTGGAGCTCAGCTTGCACTGCTGGCTGCAGGAGCAGCTGCCAGGAGCTGGAATGCCTCACTTTGGCCTTCTGACAGCACAGAGCCGCTCGCTGTGGGAAACAGTGGGGAATTCACTTGTGAAGGTATTAAAAACCAAAGCAGAAAACAGGGATCATGTAAGTACCCAGCTGGAAAAGGTGAGAATGGTTTAGCCCTCCTCTGGGTAAGAGTCATAGCACCGTGTGTGGAAAGCAGGTGGGGGGAGGCAAGGCTGCAGCCCAAACTACTAGAAAATTATTCCAAGGCACTTCATGGATAGAAAATTCTGCCAAATATATATATATATTTAAAAATAAAATGGACTTAAAAAAAAAGGATACTTTGCTCCTTCAATTAATGAAAGCTGAAGGGTTACCTCCCCTCTCCCCAGCCTGCTCATTAAATGCTCCCAGCTTTACTGAGTGCACCAAATTGGAGTTTTAAGCAGGTGTGGTTAAAACCCACCCACTTTTTGAACTTTGTTCAAGCCACAAATTTGGAAATTAAAGGGCCCGGCATTTTGTCAGCATCTTCTCCCTTTTCAGACATGGTTTGAACAACACAGTATTAGGCAAAAGCAGCTTTGTGAGTGAACTGTTCATCCCTTTGGCATCCCCAGGTTACCCTTCAAACCTCAGCTTCCTTTACAAGGGTGTTGGGCTTTCCAAGGCCAGCTCCCATTCCCTTTTGGTAAATTGGGATGAGTGATCTGGAAATGTCAGCCTGCAGCAGGGCTGGGATTCCTGCAGCCGGAGGGGCATTCCCGGCTGTCTGGCCAGCGCAGCCCTCGCTGGGGCAGGACAGCAGCAGCCAGAGGCTCCTCAGAGGCAGCGCCACACGAACACACTGTGGAGACAGGGGGGAGAGCAGGGGTTGGCCTTTGGCACAGCCCCACGGACAGGAGCAGAAAATAAACACATTGGGTGTGTGAAGTACAGACTGTGTGTGTGTGAGTGAAATACACTGTGCACAGCTGCTCTGTCTGCGTGTATGCAATGTGTGCAGCCTGCAATGTGAGCACTGTGTGTTGTACATGCATTGTGTGCAGAGTTTACGTGTCTGTGTGTGACTGTAGGTGCAGCGTGCATGTGCACTCCATGTGTTTGTGTGTGTGCTGTGAGCCTGTCTTTGCTCTGTGGGCAGTGTCTGCCTGTGTGTCTGTGCCTATGCAGTGTGTGTGTCTGAGTGTATCTGTGTGCACTCTGTGTGCACCCTGTGTACGTGTGTGCATGTACTCTGTGTCTCCACATCAGGAAACACATTTTAATGACACTCAGAACTCTCACACAATCAGTGCACGTTTCCAGGCCTTCCATGCTGCTGGTGTTTGCTGATGTGGGACAAGGCTGCCTGGAGTGTCCCAGAGCTGTGTGAGGGGCCTGGGGTGAGTGGCAATGAGCCATTGTGGCTCTGTGACAGCCCCCGGTGTAATTAACAGCACTAATTACTACAGACACCAAACAGCCACAGCTGTGTGTAAAACCCCCAGGGTGTCAGATGGAGCTCTGGGGAAGCAGAGCCAGAGGGCTCTCGCAGGTTTGCCAGGCCCTGGGGACATCTCAGCATTTACACCCCCAACCTGTGACCTGATCCCAGTGCTGGCCCCACGCTCCCCTTGGGTGTTACCTGGTCCATGTGGCCCAGGTGATTTTCTCTATGACTGCAGGGTCTGTGATTTGCTTTCCCAGTGGCACCTCATGAACTTGACGCTTGTAGGCACCTGTGGATACCTGAAAAGTGGGAAAGGAAAAACCTGGAAACTGCTTTAAACACATCATTTTCTTTAAGATTTCCAGCAGTCTCACCAGGTTTTATCAGCAATTAAACATCTAGGATAATATTTCTCTTTTTTCCTCATTATCTGGAATTCATCACGTGTGATATAAAGGAGTAACAATGTTACAGGATGATGATGGAAGGAGATGCTCACATGCAGAGCTGACAGATATTCTCTCACTTTGATGCTTTACTTTATTGCAATATAATTTTACTAAATCAGAAACATTTCTGAAGGAAGCCCCTTTAAATTAACAGTTTAATTGAAACAACTGAGCTCTCACACACATCCCAGCCTCAGGGAGGAAGAGAAAGGCTTTCATATGGTTATAATCCACAATTCCTTTTTCAGCATTGTACCCCTTCCATTGCCCTTAGCACAGCTCGAGCCTCCACCTCGTTCTGGTGGCCCAACAAAGGCGAGCACTCCGTGAGCTATCCCAGACATACCTGGATGTACCTGCTGTCTGCAGAGAAGTCCATCTGTATGACAAAACTGGCAATGTCCTTGCAGTAGCCGATTCGGTTCAGGGTTGTGCCTTGAGTGAGATCATAAAAATCCACAGTATGTTCTTGTGAGCCCACTGCCAAAAACCTGTTATCCGGGCTGATCCTAGACAATACAACATGGAGTGGGGATGTCACTGGCTGTATTGGTGCAAGATTTGCTTTTGCTTCTCATGCTAACGTGACAGTAACTTTTCTTTAAAGAAAAACACAAAAAACCTTCTATCAACAGCAAGACTGAACCCAAACCAAAACTTGATGCTTAAGAGAAGAGGAAGACTCAGGATATCTCTGACAGAGGACAGGGTTAGATGGAATATTGGGAAGGAATTTTTGCCTGTGAGGGTGGTGAGGCCCAGGCACAGGTTCCCCAGAGAAGCTGTGGCAGCCCCATGACTGGAAGTGTCCAAGGCCAGGTTGGATGGGGCTTGGAGCAAGCTGGGATAGTGGAAGGTGTCCCTGCCTTGGCAAGGGTGGGACTGGATAAGCTTTAAGGTCCCTTCCAACCCAGACCATTCCATGACTCTATTCTACATTGTTTGCGGTTAAATGATGTTAACATTGCGCTCACATAAAGCCACAGCACAGTGTGCAGAGAGACACCAATCCTCTGGGAGTCAGCAACAGGAACTGCAATTTGGAGAATGAATTCCCGTAATTACGGCTGTGCAGTTGGCTGTAACTGAATTAAAGCACCACCACAGTGCCCTTCACCAGCTCACACAGGTTTCAACAAACACACACTTACAAAACCTCTGCAAATCCACCCAGCACTCCGTGGCCATTCCCCTGAGCCAGGGCTGTGTATCTGGAGCACCTCCTACCTGATGTCCTGAATTGCAGACTTCCTGTCCCGCTTCTTGCCCCAGACCTTGAGGCTGTTGACCAGCAGGACGACGAACTCGCCGTTCCTCATGCCGATGGCCACCATCTCGCCGTCGGGGCTGTAGGCGGCGCAGCGCGCGGGGTGCCCCAGGCTCACCTTGTTCACCAGCTTCTGCGGGGACACACGCAACAGGCTCACACCTCCCCAGCACACGGACGGCTTCCAAACACAAAGTATAAAACTTGCTTAATTAAAAACAAATCCACTCTGTTTCCCTCTAAACATAAACCTGAAATGTCACACCGAGACTCGCATCCCACCAGGCATATGTCGCTAAGCAGACTTCAAAACAGAGATGTGATTTGGATGGGGGGTTCATGTTTGCATTATTCTCTAGACTGACATCGAGTTTCACACCAGAAAAAAGACTCTTTAGCAGAACAAGCTGAAAAATCTATTTCCTAACTTGTTTCAAAGGTGACTTTGACATCTTCAACAACTGCTGATTGGCACAGAGCTTTCCCATTTCATTTGATATGTGAAAATGTCCTAGAAAGCTCTTGCATTTTCACCTAGCTGGTTGTATTTATAGTATATAAATTTTCCTCATTAAAAATTATTCATGTTAGCTCAGATAACAAGCTTTTGAAAAGGTTTATGCTGGCCAAAATGAGCTGAAAACTTTTTTTTTTTTTAAATGTTTTATTTGTTGTTTTTTAAAATGGTTGTTGTTAGTCAATTTAACTTGAAAAAATCCCTAAGGCAACATGCAGAGTTCCAAAGGAAGGCTCTGAAGAAGAGGGAGGCGTGCCTGCCAGGAAGGCAGAATGATGGGCAGGGGCTGTGTGTGTGACAGCACAGTCTTTGTCACCCAGACAGGCAATGTGGAATTAAAATGCTTCCTTGATCCCCCAACCTGCAGATTTGGATCAAAATAAATAATGCTCAACAAGAGGCACTCCATGAGCAGGTGTGTTGGTGAATCCCTGCATTCCTCTGGGAGTGCTGGTGCCAAACATGACCACAACCTGCTCAGGACAGAGGCAAAACCCTGTTCTCATTCCAGGGCTGCTCAAAGGCACAGCTGGAAAAACGCATGCTTGGATAAACTGCTCATTTTTAATCTCACACTTTTACATTCGCGGTACTCACTTTGTCCGACAGGTCCCAGATCCTGGCTGTTCCATCATTGCTTGCAGAGATAAATATGTCTTTGGAGGGGTGAGTTGCCAAGCCCCAGATTTCCCCCTCCATGTGACAGTCAATTAACAAGTTTGAAGCAGCGTTTTTTTCTCCTACTTCAAGGATTTCTCCATCTTTTGTTCCCACTAAGATTTTCCCCTGGAGTGGAGAGAGGTGGTCAGTGTAACAGTAACCGCACGGTTTAAACTGCCAGAGCTTCCTTGGCAAATGCTTGGAAAAAACATAAACAGATTAAGCTTGTAATTGGTTAATGGCTACTTGACTGGAAATATAAACCAACATTCCTCAGTGGTGTTGTTATCAAGGAATGTGTCAGATTGCTGAGCAAAATGAAACAGAGACCATCCCTGGAGCGCTCGGCTGGACAGGTCCCTCCCTGTGCAGCATCACTGCTCCTTTCCCATCTACGATTTAAACCCACGCAAGAGTGACTGCAGCAAGTCAAATGACTCCGTTACTTCGACTGTGCTCCACGTCAGAGACTCTCTCAGTAACTCCCATGGGGGGTTTGTGACTTTAAAGAACAAGCAGAATTCAGGCAAGCAGCCGAGCTCTGCCCTCGCCCGCTGCTCACCTTGCCCCGGCACACGGAGCGCACGCACTCGATGAGCTGCCCGGTCTCCAGCTGGAACGCTCGGCACCGCTTCATCTCCTGGTCCCACAGCTTCACTGCTCCCCCCTCCTTCGTGCTGCAAAGGAGGCCTGGTGTTACCTGCACGGCTCCTTTACACGTGCAAAGCCCACCAGTATTTTTCTGCTTAAGTCACTAAACATACACTGACCCACCCTCCACTCTGTATCGCTATTATGGTGCAATGGGAAGTAAATAATAAAAAATTAAATGCTTTCACACTTCATGTTTTAAACAGCACCATAATTTGTACAAACCAAACTGCTCTCTTGCCACGTATCTCAAATCTGTTTCTCAGCCAATCTGTTTCTTGTGGTAATCCCAAGACCCGCAGCATCTCCACTGGGAGAGGCTGTCTGTAATTTGACAGAACTAACAAATGAAGAGAACTCCACTTATGGCAGGAGCTCAGGCAGTAAGAGCTTATCCAGGTGTTTGGAACAATTCCAAAGAGGTTCAGTGTCTCCCTGCCACATAACATGTGCCACTGTGACCCTCAAGTATCCTCCTTTAGTCCTTCACTTACTGAGCCACCTGGGCAGGTTATGCAAAATTGAGAGTGAAGCTGTTACAGCACAGAGACCATTTATCTCTGGGATGCTGGATAAGAATGAAAACAAAAACCACACAAGCGAGACAGAAGCTGGCACTTGAGGAAGATCCAGTGTCTTACGGCCTCTCCTTCCCGCCAGTAACAATGAGCCCGTCCCGCAGCGTCGTGTACATGGTGAACACCGGTCCTGTGTGAGCCTTGGCCACCAGCCTGACCAGGAAATGATCCTTCCACACGTAGACATCTCCATTTATGGCACCAGTGAACGTGAGGTTATTCTGCAACACACAGCAGCAATCCCTGATACAACAGACAGCTCGGCGTTTTTGTTCAGCTTCAAGTAAAAT